AGGGCTTCCCAGACTTAAGGTCACCTATATACTGTCTGGGAGGGCTTCCCAGACTTAAGGTCACCTATAGTCTGGCTGGGAAGGCTTCCCAGACAGTACAGCAGATTTCAATCTGAGTCCTTTGTAACGACCCGCTTGCTTCTAATAAATTAGAGAAGCAAAATCTCCATCATTTCTTTGAATGAAGCTAGTTTATCATAAGTGCGGTTTTGCTCATGACTGGAGCGACCTTTCGCATGACCAGCTGCATGCCGCACTTTAGCAAGGATTAATTTCATTTCTGTTCGTTTCGGGAGGCCCATGAGCCACCGAGCTGCTGAAAGTTACATGAACCTATGAAAGTAGAAACATGTGATACTGCTCTAAGGGGGTGTTTCCACTTGGATTAAAAGTCGCAGATTAAGGCTTAATCTGTCGCATATGAAAACATCGCGCGGATTAGGGCGGATTAGGCGGATTAAGGTTGCGACGCACACGGAGTACGGGAGGAGAAGGATGCTGCTGCTGGGTATGGACGCGGATTATTCAGCGCCAAGTACTACTGGATAGCTTTTGTGAAAATGCAATTTAACAACTTTAATGTGCTTGCTGAAGGCGCTCAATTTAGCCAGGGCCGGATAAACTCTTGAAACTTCAATTCGAGTTTTTTTCCAGACTACATACGTCGCGTAACCATCCAAAATACGCACTTACCGCCTTCCGTACACCAGATGCAGGCCAAACCATATATAATCTTTCAGCACAAAAAGCACAATAATTATAATGTGTAGTAACTGCACGGTACCTGTGTGCCTTGCGCTATATAACAGTTTCCTGTACCCTTAAGGGTACAGCAGGGTATCCTGCCTGCAACGTTTCCCCCAATCTCCATCGCGTCGCAGTTTTTGAGCCCATTGAATATTTACGATTAAGGATCCATTAGAGCTACTGGTGCACTGCAAAGCGCACATCTCAGGGCAGGGGCCAGCTTCTGCGCGAAAGCGCGGCGACGAGCGACAGCTTAGACGACGCAGGAAGCCAGCGCGCAACAGCTGCTGCGTAGCTCACTTCTGGTAGGCAATCCGTTCATCTTTATCGTCCTTATTTCTCGCTCATGTTCGCAGATAACTAACGATAGACGTGCCGCCATTCAACTGCGTTCGTCGACGGTTCTCTTTCCTTTGCCATTAGCTTCCGTAACCAACATCTCGCAACAACTCCGGCCCTCTTGTCATTTGGAATCTCCTTGTTGTCTCTCCATGGGTGCTTTTATTTACCCTGGCTACTGCTATGCTGCTGGACCATGAACCCTAATGGTGCGCGCCTTGCTTCCTTGTTTATGCGCCACATAGAAGGCGAACGAGGCAGGACGGAGCGAGCGCGGTCCCAACATATATCGACACGAGCTAAGAGCTGTCTGCTGCGTGGCTTCACCTCCAAGATCATACGGGCGGCGATCCTGGACTCACCGGTACGTTGTCGCGTCATAAGACTGTAGCGTCGTCCTTGCCGGATAATAATAATAATAATAATAATAATAATAATAATAATAATAATAATAATAATAATAATAATAATAATAATAATAATAATAATAATAATAATAATAATAATAATAATAATAATAATAATAATAATAATAATAATAATAATAATAATAATAATAATAATAATAATAATAATAATAATAATAATAATAATAATAATAATAATAACAACAATAACAATAACAATAACAATAATAATAATAATAATAATCCGGAGACCGCAGCTTTACATTCCTGCATCAAATACCGCACTGCATCTATAGGGGTTAGAAGTTGAGTCTCAGGCCATAGGGGTTGAGGCATCGCCGTGCCCCCGGCTGGATAAAATTAATCGGAGTTATGAAGATACCGCTTGCATGCTACAGCACATAATATCGCCCACCTGTGCCTGGCCCTCTTCCGGATGCGTTGCAGCAAGCTCAGCTGGAATACCTACGGGAAACACGCACGCACACACGCACTTAAACGCGGCAGTGAAGGCCATCATCGCCTATCATGGTCACGTGTCGCAGTACTAATGGTGGCCGTGGTGGGCGTAATGCTAACAGTCATGGATTGCCGCCACCGCAGCAGCAGAAGCCGATCCACCGCCGCAACTGCCACAGCCCACTGCTTCTGAGCTTCCCTCTACGCCTGCTACTGGTGCTGTTGCTCTTCGGCAGTAGTGCACAGATAGCTGCAGCTGACTCCATTCCGCCTCCTCCCCCCATGGCGCCGTTGGCCACCTGCGGTCCGAACACAGTGCTCTACAGGAACGGTGTGCCAGTTAGCGCCATAAGGGCGCCTGTAACCTCAGCTGATTCGGGACAGGAGATCAGCCCGGCATTCCTTTTGCAGGTTGTGGATGTTCCAGTAACCTCAGTAACTGTTGGTTATCACCACACCGGGACGCCAACTATTGTCGTACAATGGCAGCACACAGAGCCGGGCACATTTTACTACGGCATGCTTTCCGAAGCGGATTTCAATGCCGTATACAATGGCACCTCTGGCTGCAGGGAGCCAAGCGATTTAGCACCCTTGGAGAACGGTCGGCTCGTAGACTCTACTTATACAGCCTACCTTCCCATTTTTGAAGCTGTATCCCCCAGCTACTCCAGCTTGGTCCAACCCTGCGGCGCCCCGGTCACCTTCTACTGGTTCACTCGTTTTTTCAATGACGCCAACACAAGTACTTCCTGGGCGGCTGCTGACTGGGTGCTGGCTAATGACCCCACCAACCCCATCTGCCCTGACTCCCCAACTGCTTGGGGTTACACCAAGCTCGCCATCTCATACTGCCCCTGCCCGGCTCAGCCCCCGCCGCCAAGTCCGCCACCTCCGCCGCCAATGCCACCTTTACCGTCCTGTGGTGACTTTACGTATGTCACCTACAACGGTGTCCCCGTCACTGGATACCCAGCACCCGTACGGTCCAGTGTAACGGGTCAGGTGGTTACCCCGGGGTATATTGATGCATCTAAGGGGTATCACGAGCTGGTGGTGGACTGGCAGCTAGAGTCGTACGTCAAGTATTCATTTGCAGCAATGATCGAGCCATTATTTTTGCAGCTTTACAATGGTAACACAGGGTGTCAACCGCCTGATGCGTATTTGTCAAGTTCCAATAATTGGGAGATTACAAGTCAGGGTAAAGTATCACTCCACGATGGAAAGGTCTTTGCAATGTTCTTTCGGATGGGATGGCTGCCACAATGTCAACCCCTGACAATGGTCATGTTCTTTCGTTTTGAGGACATAAGGCCCATGAATGCCTCTATCCACCCCTCTTGGGTCGCATCCGAGTGGGTGGCTGCCAATGACTCCTCCAACCCTATTTGCCCGGACTCCCCCACTGCCTGGGGCTACTACAAGTATACCGTTAACTATTGCCCTTGCTCGCCTCCACCCTCTCCCGAGCCGCCATTATCACCGCCATCACCACCATCATCACCATCATTACCGCCATCACCACCATCACCCCCATCACCA